CTGCCGGTACGAATTCGATTTTGTATTTTCCTACGTTAGGCGGCTGATGAGCACTCTCGAAATGTTTGGATCAGTTAAATACTGCTGTTTATGCCATCTTAACATTAACGAGAATGCGTTGTGATAAAGTAGAGGAATTTAAGAAATGTTTGCTGGTAGCACTAAACATCATTATTTCAGAAGAATTTAGAAATGTTTCGAACAGTGCAAAACCCGTTGAGCCAAGTGCATATCATTTAATGGACAGTACTTTGGAAATGATTACTGCTTTTAAACATGCTACCTTAAATTAAAATAAATAAAATAAACTCCGTTTTTGGGTAGCCCGTACAATAGAACTTACCTAAATTTTTGTGTATAAGAAAGCACTGAAAGTCGTCAGTGAAAGCCCTTGGAGAAAGCATAATTAACTGCGTCTCAGTGGTGGCTAGCCTCAGCAAGGAGTTCTTCGCTCACGGACGGCCGAACGACAATGGGCCTACGTGTTCGACGAGGGGTGGCAAAATTGGAGAATCGAAAGGGGGACAGGACCGTGGGCTTAGCGTGAGTCATGAAGATGGTCGTGGGAGGTGGACTGATGGACGGTTGCCTGGTCGCTTCGGAGGTCAGAAAGCAGCGATAGAGGTTGACTCCGACCAACATAAAGCAGAGGAGTATAGGCCCGATGAAGGCACCCTCTGCACCGAAGTAGTAGAGACCGCCGGCTATGGAGAGGCCTGTGAGATACGGATGACCAGCTCTAAAAAGACAAAAGTTCTTCAAAGTTAGCCGTGCAAGACAGCCCATACAGGTGGAAAAACGAGATCAGGAAGAAGGAGATATTATGGGTTGAAAGAATTTTGTTTGTATGCCTTTAGCGCATTTATTTTATTGGTACTTTATTTGCCTAATTATGAGAACAACGGCGGCCTCGATGGGATGGGAGACTTTGGTACAGTCCACGTCCCGATCAACCGAGATACGAGGCCTCATTGGGAAACGTGAGGTTAATCATACTTTGGAAGAAGGTACCCGTCCAGCGTACGGCAACGAACGGACTTCACCAGCAGGATTACCGAATAAATCAATTTAGAATATTGTGGAGCCTTCTCCTTACTGTCGTGGGGTTCGAATCCTACAGAGGTTGCCGAGTGTTTCCCAAGTGTGTCAAAGTAGAAGGAGATGCAACCACTGTAACAAGAGTTTTATTGCCCTGACGTTTCGGATTTCGCCCGCATCCAATACGGACGAGGAAATCACGGCAAGTAATGAGTCGAACGCGAAGTGTCAACCCAGTACCACCACCCAAGCGGTGGCTACAGAATTCGATAATTATCGTACGCACGCAGATGACCCCTATGAACTATAAATACCGTGCAACCTGTACATGTTTCAACCCTATCTGCTCATGACTATGACTATGATACCATTACCTATGATTAAGGATCCCCGATGAAATCCGAAACGTCAGGACAGTAAAACTTTTGTTCAAGTGGTCACATCTCCAGCTTCCGAACTGCTTCCTGGAACTCGCATATTCACCTCTATTGCGTCAAATTAATTGTTGGTACTTGTCTTTGATGTTGGGTTCGAGAAAGATACGAAACGTCGGATAAATAAAATCCTTTTCTCAGCAATCGCACCCACTGCTTCCTACATTATCTAAACAAAACAGTGTCAAAACGTGCATAAAAGAGCAAACAGTGACATAAAACCAACCTGAAATTGTTAAACTGGAAAACTTTCTTGTATGGCCGCCTAAATATATATTCCCTCGCCCAACTGTCTTACGTAATTTCTCGTCAAACATTTAATTGTTGCTTAGCGAGTGTAAATAAACATTTAACTGTGTCGGAAGTGATCAAAAATATTAAATTTAAGAAACTTACAATTGTTTCAATATACTAAACAGAAATAATCAATTAATCAACATAAACTCCTGTTGCTCAGGCAACTGATGCCAATTGAGGGAAATTCAACCTTAAATTGACGTAATTTAACGAAAAAGAAAAAGTCGGGTTACTGAAAATATAAAAGTAGGTTATTTCTATAAGCCAAAGGCAAAAAGGACCTCTGAAGACAGTCCTACCTACTAATTGCGATACGTTTAAATTAGGGAATTACTTTAAAAGGATGTGAACGCCTTCAAATCATCAGGGCTTTCTGTTCAACTCGATAGTTTGAAGGCGTGTTAGGTGTTGTATGGTGAAGAAATCGCGAATTAGAACAACCGCAAGCTCTCTTTTCTTCTGCAGTATTGTCCATCGGCTGTCGGACTTTGTCAAGTAGATTAAAAATGAAGGCAGGGGCTAGTGGGACACAAAGCCTCATGTTCTAAAGTGTTCTGTTGTTGTTAGAGACTGATACAATAGCGCAACCATGTTCGAGATCAAATAATAAACTACAAACACAATTGTCAGGTGTGAGCTAAGTGAAAGGAGAGGGTTCGCAAATAGTGGCCAGGGAGGACCCGCTTCAGAAATAATAGCTGTCTACATGAACGTCTAGACTGGCGGCAAAGACGCGCGCACAAGCTTCTGTGGATCAATGAGAGAATGCAGGAATGACGAATGTTCGTATAGACGCACAGAAAAGGAAAACGATTTACATAATCTCATACAAAGTACATCAGCATCGCAGTTCGGACAGAGGATCTGAAAGACTCATTCTAATATCGATATAACCAGGGGTGACCCGAAAAAAATAATTGCAGTTGTATTAATAGGCGAAGGGCTTACCCCTTGATCTCACTGTAAAGAGCAGTGTCCAGGAAGAAATGCGGCAGAAGATGGAGTCCAAAGAGGAAAAGAGTCAGCCAATAGGATCCACGCACAAAAAGAAGCTCTATAACTCCTGGTAGAGTAGCCCAGTACGTACTCACGATCGGAATGGCTCCCAGGATGGTCGCCGTTACTGTTGTAAAAATAGTAATTGGGAGAGAAGAGACAAGAGAATGGGACCCAGGCTAAAGCGGTATATACATATAATCAACTAAAAATAAATCGGCACTGGTTTAAACATAAGCTGACTTTGATCACAGAGAAGAAGTTAAGTAAAACTAAGTTAGGGCAGATTAGTCGACGCTAAGGCGCAGTCCTTCGGACGAACAATCTTCAACTAAGAAACGGCTTGCGTTTTCCGAATAAGTCAGGTAAGGCAGACTT